TGTGTTGCATTAGTCATTTGCATATTAGGACATGCATTTTTCTAACTAGTTTCTTCTATTTTAGCTTGCCTCGGTTGAGTACTAGGTGAACGTTTTTGCTTTAGCATATTGCATGTATGTTTGTGTCACCATAATCAAGCATGTTACCATGAGGCTAAGTGCTTATTTGATATATCTCTTGAGTGCCTATGGATGAAGGCTATTTTTCTTAAGTAGGGATGATTTGATTAATGTACATATGAGCTCATTTTTTCAAGTAGTACATATTCAAAACACTTTTCCAAACAACACCTTGAAATCAAAGCATTTCAAAGTGAGTGAAATAGTCTATATTCGTGTGCTTCACATAGTAAATTCACATTAATAATCAAAACAAGAGCATATAATGTACATAAAATCACATTATGATTAATAGAGGTCGATCTTTGATTGGCTGAGTGGGGTGCTCAATCCATGACCTTCCCCTCTCATACCTAAGTTCCCAAGTCGAGACACTTTGGTGATGACAAACAAGTGGCTTTTGGCACGAGTCATGCATTTCCTAAATTTCCCAAAAATATTTAGGTGGTGACTATGAAATCTGGCAATGCATCTTCGATGATAAATGGATTTTCAAAAGATTTGATGGATTTGAACTCATTTGTGTTCTTTCTGTTTCACATTACACTTGTGAAACCAGATTTAGAATCACGAGAGTCTGAACTGTAGGGCTATTGTATCCGAGGAGACTAAATCGCTCTAAGGAACACGAAAAGCAAACTACACTGAATTTCTTCACTTTTGATTTTATACAGTTACCATAAATCAATACTCTTCTTTTTGACTTTATGGACAAATATTTTTGCACATGGATAGTGACTATATTGGGATAACTGATACTTGTGAATGTTTTGACGGATTACTGTAATTACGATAGACTGAACATAGATGATAACAAACTAAGTAGTTAGCTTAGCTTTGTTAGTTTTAATGTGGATAGTGACGGCACTTGGAATGTTTTTGGTAGTAGTGCTTACTACATTTGATGTGGTATTTTGGACAGATTCTATTTCCTTGTGCTTCAAATTAGTATGCAATTTATCTTTTGTTTTTGGATAAATGAAACTTTTTTAGTTTGGGCTGTTTATTTTTGGATTGATTTTACAGGTCATTCATATATGTTGGAAATCATATATTGGAAACCATGTGGTACATATGGCGTGGCCTAACCTTGAAGGCCACATGGTACACATGGTCCATCCACACATGGCATAACCATGAGGGACACATGGTCTTGTACATGTGGTACACATGGTGTGGCCTAACCATGAGGTACATTTGGTTTGCTGTATATGCCTATATAAGGGTTCATGCTCAACATTGTGTAGATACACCAAAAACAATAAGTTCTCTCTCTATTCATCTATTTTGAGGCTATCATCTTGAAAGCCTAGGAATTTGGAGCGTGGATAAATATTGAGAAACTCTTGTGAAGCCCCTGAAAAATGTATTTTCTTTAAAAACCCTTACGTTTGAATTATTTCCTTAAAGTCCCTTAGATTCTTAAATTATTTCGAAACTTGCTGATTAGTAGATTTCTTCTTCTTTTTTTTTTATCAGAACAAGAATATCCTAGCCAAATTAGGTTCCTTAGCTTAATTTAATTTAATTCTACATAAATAAGGTTCCAATACATGAGTTTAATTCCAAGCCCTTACTTCTTTTATTAACTTCAAGATTTGCCCCAAACTAGTACATGTACTTTTTATACTATAGTACCACCAAATCAATTTGTGGATCTATATATATATTGGGAATATCTCCATAGTACACATATATTGAATAGACCCCATTTCTTTCTCCATTTTATTTATATGCTTATAATGATAGCATCATGTTTTACATTTTCATGTCATTGCCATGACTTATATCCATATTTGCATGCATAAGGTTCGTCTCATTATACTAACCGAATGTCAAATTCAAATTCCTTAATTGAATGAGTGCTTTTATCGCATGCCTCGAATTGACTCACATGCCATACTAGTAGCCGAGCTTATTAATTGCATGTTTGTATGCGTTACATTAGTCATGTTGCATTGCTTAGGATCATGCATTTTTCAACTCATTTTTGTTTTCTTTGGTTTACCTCAGAGTACTAGGTGAGCAGTTTTTGCTTTGGCATATTACATGTGTACGATTGTTGCCATGTCAAGCATGATTACCATGAGGCCAAGTGCTTAGTTGATATACCTATTACATAACGACCTTGGGTCCATAGCAAAACGACCTCCGGTCTATCACTTGATAGAATGACCTTGGGTCTATAGCAGAACGACCTCGGGTCCATCACATAACAGAATGACCTTAGGTCCAATATAGTTGTATAACACGGCCTTTGGCCCAATACATAGCAAAACAACCTCAGGTCCATCATATGAGACATACGAAACGACCTCGAGTCCAACAGATATATTATAGATAACATACCAAGCAGATAGATAGATGGCTCATTCATACTTTCAAATTCATAATTATAGAAAAGCTCACCACAATGATAAAGTCAGAAAATAGAATAAGAGAAAATATCTTTACTAAGATATTACTCATCTTGAGTAGGTTGTTGTTTTTCCACAACGTTCAAACATACACATTGTATGTAATACATAACACACATTGGATTACTTTGTTCGAACCAAATAATTCATCTTCTCTTTCTAATTCAATCATTCATGTTCATTTATCACTTATTAGTTCCGGAGGAGATGAGAATGCAAATATGAACATAGAAGAACTTGTCAAAATATGTTAAAAATGGTCTGACAGCTCGAGCCACCTTTTGGTCACTTGAGCGAACTGCATGGACTGCAAAAATATTGGGATAGTCTGATCTACACTCAAGCCAACACTTGGTCGCTCGAGCGGTCCAACAATATGTAGAGGGTTCGCTCGAGTGCACACTTATAGATTAAGAACCGTGACAATTTGAGAGTCCTGAACTGTAGTGAGCTATCCAAACTAGGAAACACCCAATATTTATTTACTTGCCATAATTTGAAGCCAACACAAACTCTGAATCAGATTCTCTAAACCTTTTCTCTTTCTCTTTTTTGATCAGCAACAAAGAAATTTTATTGATAAATAATGAATTACTTCAAACATCAATAAAAAAAGATGGATGTACAAGTATCATAACTAAGTAATATGATCTCAACTAGGTTGGCACCATAGAACAAGCCCAATCATCTGCAGCATCACATCAAATTGGTGAGCAACCAACCAAAAACAAAACAAAAGCCACAAAATACATCTAAAGTAACAATACCAATACACTGTAGCCATCAGCAACAGAATTATCCATACTCAAATAAACCAAATCTTTGCAGCAGCATCACTAACAAATAGATAGAGCACATCTACCATCCACTAGTAGTAGCCACTAACAGCAGCCATCCAGATCCAAATCCATTAATAGCCAAGCAAGCCAAACCCAACCCAGCCACAGCGATGAAACATAACAGCAGAACTTCAACTTCCTCCAATGTAAACTCTGATCTGATTGAAATTGTAGATAAAATCATTCACTGAGTAATGCAAATCCTTGTTTAAGGTTTTAAGCCAAATTGCAACTCTGATTTTTATAAGTTTACACAAATCCCAAATGTCAGGTTTAGTATCTATAAACACACATTCATTTTTGAGTTTCCAGTCAGACCACAAGGTTGGAAAGGGAATAACTCTCCAGATCTTCCTCTCTAATTTCTTAAAGCACTCACCCTCTTACCAGTGTAGTAATCCTTTTACAGTACCAGGAATAACCCACTCTAAACCCCACCATCTTAACAAAGCTGACCACACACCCCAAACAAATGGGCAATGCAATAACACATGAATCACTAATTCGTCAGCCTCTTTGCAGAAACAATAAACTATAGAGAAAGTGGCACTGAGTACACCAATTCTTTGAAGAAACCCAGTTGTTTTCATCTTATGCTTCCAAGCAAGCCAGCCAAAAAATTGCACTTTGGGAGGTAACAAACTATTCCACACTAATTTACTTAATTTGAGATGCATACCCACATCAGCATTACAGAGGTTATACAAGGAAAAAACAGAGAAAATAAAAGGCATGAAACAATACAAGCTAACCATTCACACATGGCAGGTCATCATTATAGTAAAGAACCAAATGATATATGGCATGCATGTTGTGGGAACGAGGAAGAATGATCCCACAAGATATGTTGTTAGGTTGCTGTTTCACTGAACATGGATTACAAAAGTCTGAGGGCTAATAATAAACACCAGCCCTCCGTACCAAGGGGTACCCAATTGGTCTCTCATTCTTGATTTCAGCGGCTCAAGTGCCGTGGTTTTCTTGCCTAAAAAAGAAAACACATAGATACAAACCACAACCAAAAACACAGTAAATTGATGAAAACCAGTCTTCTTTGCAACAGAAAATGATGGCCCACCAAAAACAAATACTACGAAACATTTGAACCTCATATAGTATACACTTAATAGGAAAATGCAATGAAGTTCAAAAACTACAAGATTGCACTAGTGAAATACAAATATGAAACACTGCAAATGAGGAATGAGATTCTTACACTGGACTGAGATTGAAGTCTCCCCCTCAGTAACTGGCGGATAGCTCTACCAGCCATGTTAGTCAATCTGTTGATTTGTTCACCAAAAGAAACACAATTTTAATGAAAATAAACAAAAACTATGGATCTGGAAGAGCTCAACATTGACTTTATCAGAAGATTGGAGGCATCACTGAGCAGCATGGGAGATGAATCCATACGCCAAAAAAGGGCAAAGTAGTGACCAGACAATAAATTTTACCCCCAACCAATCAAACAAGACACTGCAAAAAAGGCTTGGTTTAGCGAAGTTTCATTGTATTTAATGGTATGTGGACAATTTTATGCATATCGCAAAGCAAAATCTCTACTTTTCAGCAGCACCTATCTCTTATAAACCACATATACAAAACTAACCTGCTAAAATTTGACAGCTCTGAAAGTCAGATGCCAAGAAAAATTTGCAAACAATGAGAAGTTGAGTCTTACAGTGTGTTTGGAATTGTGGGATTTGACAGAATTTGATGGCATTGGCATTTCAAAATGGAATTCAATATGTTTGGAATGAACGGAATCTAAAATGGGGAAGGGGGAAAGCAAAATAAAGGAGTCTTGAAATCCAATGAAATGGCTGAATTTAAAGGGAATTAGAATTATAAAATCTTATCTAATCCCATATACCCATAATACACTCTCTTCTTATAAGTTCCCTACTAGCTAATAAGGGCATGATCTTCAACAAACAAAAAAACTCCTTTCCAATTCCTGATCAAACCAAACAAAAGAATGGAATAGTTTCCTTCTAATTCCAATTAGTTCTAAACACAAACACATACACACACACACACACACAAAAGGAATTCCTTAGAAACGTTTTCTTTTCCTTTCCCATTTTGAAATCTACAATTCTAAAAAGATTTGGTCCCAAACACAATGTTAAGAGCCTAGAGGTAGAAAAAGAAGAAAGTTGGGAGGAAAGGCTGACGAAATCATATATATGGTCTTGACCATCACCACAAAAATAAAATAAAATCACATATAGAGCCCTAGTCATCTAAGAGGTGGTGTAATTACACATTCCAAAATAAGAATGTAATCACACAGTGAATAGTAGCTATTAGCTTCAAAGGACCTCTCGTGAGTTCCTGTCTTCGTACACATCACCAGCACAGAATTTTTCCTTAGCTGAGCTGAATATAGAGTACACACAACTAGGCCTCATAGTATCAACTATGTTAAGCCTTTTAAGTTTTAGCTATTGCTTGCTTCCAAATTCACTTAGTTTATGTCCCAAGTTACTTAGTTTATGTCCCAAGTTTCCTGGTTTCCCAAACTTGAGTCTACACGGGGTCATCTATATAAGCTATGAAACACGGGTACTCCAAAAATAATGCCGTATAAGTATCGGATACTTACCAAGTGCGGGCACACATACCGATACAGCGGTACACTTACCGGGTACGCCAAATACATGCCGGGTACAATAAACAGCAAAAAGAAACTCAATTTAACTGAACCAATACTCGTTGCAATTGGACAGCCTAACAAATGCTTCAATCTCTTTCTAAGCGATTTGACCAAACACACAAAAAATAAAAAGGTTTTCATAGATAACCTTCCATTTGGTACCTTGAAAACAGTACACCCAAGACTGAACTCCTTAACTAAAACTTCACATATTTTGTCTCTAGTATTTGTTTCAGGAAAAGAATAAAAAAAAAGAAAAAAAAAAAAAAGAGGAAACAACATATTTTGTGGGAACGAGGAAGAATGATCCCACAAGATATGTTGTTAGGTTGCTGTTTCACTGAACATGGATTACAAAAGTCTGAGGGCTAATAATAAACACCAGCCCTCCGTGCCAAGGGGTACCCAATTGGTCTCTCATTCTTGATTTCAGCGGCTCAAGTATCGTGGTTTTCTTGCCTAAAAAAGAAAACACATAGATACAAACCACAACCAAAAACACAGTAAATTGATGAAAACCAGTCTTCTTTGCAACAGAAAATGATGGCCCACCAAAAACAAATACTACGAAACATTTGAACCTCATATAGTATACACTTAATAGGAAAATGCAATGAAGTTCAAAAACTACAAGATTGCACTAGTGAAATACAAATATGAAACACTGCAAATGAGGAATGAGATTCTTACACTGGACTGAGATTGAAGTCTCCCCCTCAGTAACTGGCGGATAGCTCTACCAGCCATGTTAGTCAATCTGTTGATTTGTTCACCAAAAGAAACACAATTTTAATGAAAATAAACAAAAACTATGGATCTGGAAGAGCTCAACATTGACTTTATCAGAAGATTGGAGGCATCACTGAGCAGCATGGGAGATGAATCCATACGCCAAAAAAGGGCAAAGTAGTGACCAGACAATAAATTTTACCCCCAACCAATCAAACAAGACACTGCAAAAAAGGCTTGGTTTAGCGAGGTTTCATTGTATTTAATGGTATGTGGACAATTTTATGCATATCGCAAAGCAAAATCTCTACTTTTCAGCAGCACCTATCTCTTATAAACCACATATACAAAGCTAAGCCGCCAAAATTTGACAGCTCTGAAAGTCAGATGCCAAGAAAAATTTGCAAACAATGAGAAGTTGAGTCTTACAGTGTGTTTGGAATTGTGGGATTTGACAGAATTTGATGGCATTGGCATTTCAAAATGGAATTCAATATGTTTGGAATGAACGGAATCTAAAATGGGGAAGGGGGAAAGCAAAATAAAGGAGTCTTGAAATCCAATGAAATGGCTGAATTTAAAGGGAATTAGAATTATAAAATCTTATCTGATCCCATATACCCATAATACACTCTCTTCTTGTAAGTTCCATACTAGCTAATAAGGGCATGATCTTCCACAAACAAAAAAACTCCTTTCCAATTCCTGATCAAACCAAACAAAAGAATGGAATAGCTTCCTTCTAATTCCAATCAGTTCTAAACACAAACACATACACACACACACACACAAAAAAAAAAGGAATTCCTTAGAAACGTTTTCTTTTCCTTTCCCATTTTGAAATCTACAATTCTAAAAAGATTTGGTCCCAAACACAATGTTAAGAGCCTAGAGGTAGAAAAAGAAGAAAGTTGGGAGGAAAGGCTGACGAAATCATATATATGGTCTTGACCATCACCACAAAAATAAAATAAAATCACATATAGAGCCCTAGTCATCTAAGAGGTGGTGTAATTACACATTCCAAAATAAGAATGTAATCACAAAGTGAATAGTAACTACTAGCTTCAAAGGACCTCTCGTGAGTTCCTGCCTTCGTACACATCACTAGCACAGGATTTTTCCATTGCCTCAGCAGCACTCTTGCAGTGAACTTTAGAAGACAAGGCAAGCTAAGAGTTGGTTAAACCTAGCTGAGCTGAATATAGAGTTCACACAACTAGGCCTCATAGTATCAACCATTTTAAGTCGTTTAAGTTTTAGCTATTGCTTGCTTCCAAATTCACTTAGTTTATGTCCCAAGTTACTTAGTTTATGTCCCAAGTTTCCTGGTTTCCCAAACTTGAGTTTACACGGGGTCATCTATATAAGCTATGAAACACGGGTACTCCAAAAATAATGCCGTATAAGTATCGGATACTTACCAAGTGCGGGCACACATACCGATACAGCGGTACACTTACCGGGTACGCCAAATACATGCCGGGTACAATAAACAGCAAAAAGAAACTCAATTTAACTGAACCAATAAACTGTATGAGTGAAAATAGCTGGGTTTTTTAATTGGGTTTCCTTCGGATTCTTGGGAACCAAGCGCATAATTAGGAGAATCAGAAGACGGAAAATGATACCTGTACTCCTGAAGGAAGCGATCGTCGTCGAGATCGGGATCATCCTCGAGATCTTCGAGTTGTTCTTCGGTCCTATCATCGATCCAGGCATTGTCTTTGTGTTTAGAGTCTTTGTCCTCGACGGGCGTAAAAGATGGGGGCTTGAATGCAGGGGGCTTCGGAGGGAGGTCTCCCAATTTTCTCTGAATATCGTCCCATTGAGTCGAAACTCCTTCCACGTCCTTGTACACGAAGTGATAGTTCGCCATTTTTGAATCTCCGATCAACCCTCTCTCTCTCGAGATTTGCTTCGATGAAGTTCGGTGTGTAATAACGAATTACGGGCATGCAGATAAGTGGGCCAAAGGCCTATAATCAAGGTTTTAAAAAGCGGCCGCAACCGTTACGTAACGCCGTTACGTAACGGTTTTGGCGGTTACCGCCACCCGTTACGGCCGCTTTTGCAGTGCGATTGAGATTCACAGGTGTGTCGGCTGTAGCGGCTACCGTAGTGGTTGTAACAATGCCGTAACAATCGTAACGGCCTGTTACGCACCGTTACGTAACGGTTCCAAATTGTTTCTTTCGAAAAAACACAAAAAAAAAACTGAAAATAGGAGAAGAGGGAGAGAAGAGGGAAGATAAAAAGAGAAAATGGAGGATCAAGAGATAGAGAGAGAGGAGGGAAGATGAAGAACATGTTATTGATTTGTTTAAGCTGTATGACCTATTCTATTCTATTCAACTGTTATCACTAAACCATTTTGTTTGTGTGTGTCTATCTAGATATATTGTTTGAAAATAATAATAATAATAATAAGAGTGGTCATTATCTATTTGGGTTGGTTAAAATATGTGTATATATATATACATATATTGGGGCTCTTATTTATTCTCTTACTTTTGTTATTGTTTATCTTATATATAATAGTTAGTAATTGATTTTTTGTATAATATAAAGTCATTAATTATTAAAATAAAATATAAAAAACTCAGTTTGTAGTGATTTAAAAATATAAAATATATTGGATCATACTTAAAAATTTACAAAAATTGATCAATATTTATTTTTAACCCAATAAATATGATCATGGAAAAAAAATATGTGTATCGGTAAGTTTTTTTCAAATTGTGCGAAAAATAAAAAAATTCACGGTTCCGGTTACCGCAACTGTTACACTACGGCCTTTACACCCCGCAACCGCAACCGCAACCGCAACCGCGTTACCGCCACCGTTACAGCGACCGCAACCGCTTTTCAGAACCTTGGCAACGGAGGAGGAGACAGAGGAAGATGCAGGCTTTCCACCACATAGAGATCTCCAACTCTACGGCCAGTTCCAATCTGCTTCTTAGACTCCTGATCCTACACACAACAGACAGAAGAAGAAAAGATAACATCAAAACCAAAAACATCAAGCTGACTGATAGAAAGTAAGCTAACAGACAGTTGAGGAACATAAAAAACAGAGGGAATAGTAACAGCAGACATGACAGAGGACAAGACAGGCCTAATAGATAGGACAGACATACCAGACCCATTAGTAATATTAATAGTAATAGAAAAGGGAGGTGGGATATAGTTTTGGAGTAAGGAAAGGTGAAGAGTCATATGATGAGAGGCACCAGAATCCAAAAGCCAAACAGAGGAAGGAATATCTAAAGAGGACCCAAGCAAACTTGAATGAAGAGAGGTCAGAGCAGAGGCAGATGAAAATGACTAAGAGGTGGACTAGAGATGCTGAAGCTGGGCAATCTGGGCACTCAAGGAAACTAAGTCAGGATCAGAAGCCGGAGCAGATGCAGTATAAGCAACAGGAGGGTGAAAAGTACTCGGAGCGGGACCTCAAAACTGTGGCTGAGACAGCTGAGAAGTCTGAGCAGACTGACGGCCCTTCTTAGGACAGTTGTATTTCCAATGGCCCTTTTGATGGCAAAAAGCACACTTATCAGAGGCTAGTGGCCCTTTCTTGGGCTTTGCAGTGGCTTGAAGATGAGGGGGGTTCGACAGCAGAGGAGGCTGAGTAGGAGCTAAGAAGACAGATGGAGATAGAGTTTGACTGGCCGTTTTAAGACTGGTTTCCTCGGAGAGGAGTTCACGAACAATAGCATCCACAGAGGGGTTAGGAGACCGATGAAGGATGCCATCATGAATAGCCTCATACTGGGGAAAAAACGCTGCTAAGAACTGCACTAAACAACCCTGCTCCCGAAACTCAACGTAAGTGTCTAGTACCTTGAGGCTAGGTGGTTCTATGAGAGTCAATTGATCCCAGAGATCTGTCATCTCAATATAGAAATCCTGAATAGTCTGATCCCGTTGACAAGCACTCTGAATAGCTGTTTCCAACTCATACCGCTTGGCAAAGTTGGACAGCTGATAAACACCTAGTAAATAATCTCACACCTCCTTGGCAGTATTGTAGTTAGAAAACATTATTCTAATATGGTCCTCCACAGAATTATGAAACTAGGTTAGAACTTAGGCATTATCACAATCCCAAGTATCACAGGAAGTCAGATATCCTTCCGCCTTTGAGTCCAATGGCCGAGGAATAGAATCAGAAACATAACCCCATTTTTCTGACTAAGAAGAAAGTTCATAACACTGGCCCAATAGGTATAATTGTTACCCGTGAGTTTGCACTTGATGGCTTGGGTTTTAGTGTCCAACATTATAATGAAACAAGAGTTTATAGAATTAATGGGTTAAAACTATAATATTCAGAAGGTGCTAGGGTCAAACAATAATAATCCTAAAATAAGTTTCAAGTTTACTAACCCCAAACCAGGCTACCACGAGTAGACGAGCAGAGTGAAAGATACTGTGGTCGCGTAACCCCAAACCAAGCTACCACGACCAGATGAGCAGAGAGAGAGATCAGACGAGGCGAAGCAGAGATGGCTGAGGGAGACGGCGACAAGGCAACGAGGCGAAGCAAAGATGGCTGAGGGAGACGACTATGCTAGGGCTCGCGAGCACGCAGATTGATCATGATTTTTCAATTGTAATCCGAAAACCAGAGACGGCTGAGGAAGATGACGGCGCTAGGGTTACGAACATGGCTCTAATACCATATAAGTTTCCGAAGAACATTGTGTATTCAATTTTATATAGTTACAAAGTATTCATCAGTTTATATAGCCCTAAATCTATGGCTGAACAAGGAATGACTGAAAAAGGAAATATGCCTATATGTCTAATTTATGCCTAATTCCTAATAAACACAATCATGCCATATATACAATATATTCTCACAAACAGTAATCTTGCTAGATAGAAATAGAGAAGAGAGAGAGAGAGTGTGTGTGAGAGAGAGAGAGAGATGCTTCATCCTCAAAATGGATATGCCAATCACACAAACACAATCTCAAATTCTCATAATATTAACTCTCATTATTCTATAAGGGCTACATCTCAAATTTAGAAACTAACAATATTTAGCAACTATTAATATTCTAGACCAACTATGACTTCTAATTCTACTTCAATCATAGTAGAAAACTTTAATGACTTTTAATTTTACTTTAATATCAAAATAGGAAACATGGACTTTTGATCACTAAGATTATTTTAGACGTAACAAAGTCCATATATAATGACCCATTTAATAACTTGACCCAAAATTAAACCCGTGACCCGTGGGCAACCCCTACAACCCATGTCCTACAATTATTAGAATTACCATTGTACCCTTACTTACTAAAACCTACTATAATGACATAAAAACTCAAAATAATTCCAAATTTTTAATTCTTGATGCCCTAAATGTGGTTCGTGTGAAATTCCAGATTTGCTCTTTTTCGTCTTTCCATGATCTTTGTTCTAGGCTATTGTAAAGTCGAGTTTTTAGTGCTTTTAACTCTCCATACTGCTGGACTGTCATTCTTGGTTGGACAAATATTTTCATTTTTTTGGATTTACTTCGTGCTTGATTTAAAAATCAAGCCATCTTTTCTTATTTGTTGTGCTTGTGCTTTGGATGGATTTTTATCATAGTAATTTCTTAACATGAAGTCTAATTATTCCACCATGCATAGCAGCATAGCAAGAAATATTTGACTACTGACCATTTGAGAAATAAGAAGTAATAATGCTTTCATATGTTCACCTGTCATGTGGTTACTTATTACATTATTTGTTAAAAATTAAAGCACTCGTGTAATATGCTTCAAACATTATTATTATTTTTCTCTATTTTGGGTGTAATAGCAACCATCTGATCTTCTGATATGGTAGAGTGAGTTGTCATCAAAAAGCTTAAATGTGTTTCTTCACCACATTGGCTATTGCATGCTCTTTCTTTCTCTTTTTATCTTTTCCTTTCCTTTCTTTCCTTCCATTTTGTAGTAGTGTTGTCGGTGTCTATGCTGTAAGTAACATGTAAAAAGCTGTGCATCCAGTTGTCTCACAATGTCCAAGTCTCAAGGAATACTATTAGTTAATGCTGCACAGCATTTTGAGCACCACAAGAGAAAAAAACGAACCTATTGGAATACAACATACATAAAAAATAAACAAATAAATAAAGTTGTTATATCCATGCATTTTTATAGGCTTTCAGGTATTGGTCCAGGCTGTAGAACAACTAGTTGAAGATGAAGCTTCTGAAAAGATGACCACTGATCAATTGGTATGGTTGTACGCAATCATGTTATCTGCTACGGTGATAAAACTTGCACTGTGGTTTTACTACAGAAGCTCAGGAAGCACAATTGTCCGTGCTTACGCAAAGGTATATCCCACATTGCTCTTGCTCTCAACCTTTCGGTTCCCCATTTTTTTAGTTGTATAACTTCTTTTTTATGTTGATTGCCAGGATCACTATTTTGATGTGGTAACCAATATAGTCGGGTTAGTTGCAGCTGTTCTTGGTGATGAGTTCTACTGGTGGATTGACCCTGTCGGTGCTATTGCTCTTGCAATTTATACAATCACAAATTGGTCTGGAACTGTTCTCGAAAATGCAGGTAACTCCTGCTGCCCTCATCTTAATTTTCTTTGGATCTGCTTGTTGCTTAAATTTCCGTATAGATCAAAAAGAGTCCCGAATTAAACATCTGAGACATTGCTTGTTTTGGCTCTTGATGCTTTTTTTTTTTAATTTTTATTTTTTTAATAAAGGGCCATTCAGAAATAACTAAATGGAGCTAGAAAGTATGCGATTTTGATTCCCTCTGCATCATCATAGAACTGAACAACAATATGGCAGAATAGATCGAAGAAAACATGGCTAAGAAGCATGGACACGGGACACGGTGATTTAAAAAAAAATGGGGACGTGGACATGGCGGGGACACGTCAATACATTATATATAAGAATTGACTAAAAAGTCATATTAGGAAGATGGATGCACCAATAAGACCTCTTGACTTTTTTATGACTTTCTAGTGCATCAAAACATCTTCTTCACTTTTAATTGTTACCACAATATTTTTTTCTTTCTTTTTAGCGGCATTTTCATAAAAAAATGTCATTAATTGTTAGTTTTTAGCAATAGTTGAAAAATTCGTCACAGGAAAATGTCACTAATTGTTAGTGTTTAGTGACAACTGAAAAATTCGTTACAGAAAACGTCACTAACTGTCATTTTTTAGTGACAAATATAGAAGATCGTCATAGAAAAACGTCACTAATTGTCAATTTTTTGCGACAGATTTAGAAAAGCGTCACTAACAATTGTGGACTTTTTGATCTATACAAAGTGGGACTTAATAGTGCATAGGTCCTTATAACAGGACCAACGAGTAATTACTCCTTTATTTATTTGCTATGTAGTTTATTATAACATTCACAAATAATCAAAATTAATAACATTTAACACTAATTCAATATATATATAACCTCACTCTTAAGTTTACTCTTATCTTTTATGTCTTTTTTATGAATGATCTATTCATTATTTAAATCTAATAAAAAAATAATAAACATTCAACATCCATCAAAAACACGAAAGAATAGGGAAAAAAAACTAATTGGTGTCCTTGGCATGTCCCTGAGGTGTCCCTTGAAAAAGAATTAATTACATAAAGGGACATACCACATGGCGTGTCCCATTTGTGTCCACATCGTGTTCCTGTGTTTGACACGGCTACAACACTTGTTCTGAAGTGTCAGTACTGCATAGTGTCTTGGTCTCTAGAGTTGCTTTTTTGCTAGCAAATAAGCATTAGTGATGTAGAACAAAGTAGGAGAAAAAGAGGGACACTTAAAATAGCCACAACCTAATCATCACAATGGCCTCATTTGGGAAGTGGCTATTTTAGAGGCTTTTCAGCTTTTTGGCTATTTTAGTAGGCTATTTTAGTTTTTGTGTTTGGGAAAATGAGATGAATTTTTAGTTAAGTTGTTGTATTGAAAAGTGTGTTGAAATGATGTTTGAATTTAAAATGACAAATTTGTCCCTAAATTATTAATTTTTAAATTGATGTAAAGGGGTAAAATGGTAATTTAGCCGTTAATGATGACTTTTGAGGCTGTGACAGTGTAGGCACAACCTACATTGTCCGGCGCTGAGCCTATTTTTATTTTTATTTTTATTTTTTTGAAAAACTTTGAACATTTTTGCTTTTTAGCTTATTTCTCATTTCAGGCTATAATAGCCTCAACCCACCATTCCCAAACAGCGCCAATATTTTTTGAGGCAACTTTGAGTAAAACAAAGCGAAACCCATTATTTATAGGCCAAAAAACCCTATTTAAAATAAGAAACTAAACCCTAATTTGATTTGGAAACACATAAAAATAATCTAACTAATAATTACTTAAATAACATTAATAATAGAAATAAAAATCTACCAATTACATTTCTTGGACCAAAAAGTCTTTAGTGCATGCAAAATGGACCTATGAGCTTCACCCTAGGCTTCCAAAGCAGATATTGGGGCTCCATCCAATGAAGGGTGTTAGAGTAGGAAATTATATTATTCCGATTTGTTCCTTGATTGATGTAATGGGTTGTAATGAGTTAGCCCGTAATTCATGCCTTATGGCACTCCTGTAATTATGTTTTATTCTTAATATAACTCACTTATTCTCTATCTCTTTCTCTTCTCCAAAACTATCATGGTATCAAAGCCACAAACCTAACCTATACACCACCACACTGCCACCCCACACCACCTTATAGCCACTACAAAGCCACCCATCTAGTTTCATCAACTCATTGTGTGTGTAGGGGTCCTGGCAACAGCCAGAGGTCACCCAGGTTGAGTCACCTACTGTCGTGGGCCACCCAAGCCTGGTCGACTGCTGCTGAAGGCCTCCCAGGCTTGGTCAACAGTCACCGAAGGCCACCCAGGCCTGGTCGGCTGTTGTTGAAGGCCACCTAGGCCCTGCCGAAAGTCACCCAGGCCTAATTGACTGCTGTCAGAAGCCCACCAAGACCAGTCGGCACCTCTTCTGCTCATCTGACAATATCTGTCTATTTCGGCTCAATCCACTGCTCTTCTGCTCTTTGCCGACTCTGGTTTTGGGTATGGTTTGATTAGTTCATCTGACTGTTCTATACAGCAACAATCTTTATTTATCTGTTTGATTGATGGGTCTCTCTTGTAATTTAAGAGAATATAAAGCTTGAGTGATGATTATGATATCATTTCCTTTTATATTAATCAATCAACTGTACAAAAGGAAGCCTTAAGGCACTAATTAAGGAATCACAATCAATTAATCAATCACAATCTAATCTAAATAAGGAAACAATGAAATATTTGAACACTCTCCCTCAAGCTGGTGCGAAGATATCTCATATGCCCAGCTTGCCTAGAATATCATGAAATGATTTACTCCCAACTTCCTTGATAAGGATGTCTACAAGTTGTTCATCTGACTTCACAAAAGAAGTACATATCATGCCACTAGTAAGTTTCTCCTTGATGAAGTGGCGATCAATCTCAACATGTTTTGTCCTATCATGTTGAACAGGATTGTGAGCTATGTTGATGGCATCCTTATTATCACAACATAGCCGCATAGAGTTTGTCTGGCCCATCCCCAGATCATTTAACAACAGACTGATCCACAAGAGTTCACACACCTTGTGCTATAGCTATAAACTCAACTTCTGCACTTGATCTGGCGACCACATTCTGTTTCTTACTCCAAGTAACAAGATTGCCGCCCATAAAGGTACAATATCTTGATGTAGATCTCCTATCAGTTATTGACCCTACCCAATTAGCATCTATATAGGCTTCCACTCTGAGGTGATCATGTTTGGAAAGTAGAGGCCCTTTCCAGGAGAAGATTTCAAGTACCTCGGAATTTTCATAACAACCTCTAAGTGAATTTGATGAGGAACATGCATAAACTGACCAACCATACTGACAGCAATAGCAATATTAGGACGAGAGTGAGATAAGTAAATGAGCTTACCCACTAGTCGCTGATAACTCCCCTTATCAACAGCTGCTCCTCCTTCATCATCACTAAGTTTCTAATTAGGTTCCAGTGGGGTATCACAGGCCTTACATCCAAGCACCCATGTTTCCTTCAAAAGGTCAAGAACATATTTCCTTTGTGAGATGAAATCCCATCATTGGAGTGAGCAATTTCGATTCCCAAAAAATATTTCAAGTTCTCCCAGTCTTTGATTTCAAATTCACTAGCTAAATATTTCTTCAACGGGGATATTTTCTCACTATCATCGCTTGTAAGCACTATGTCATCCACATAAACAATGAGAGTTGTAGTGTTACCACGTGAGGAATATTTCACAAACAAAGTGTGATCTGCCTGACTCTGTTTGAAATCATTTTTAAGCATAGCCTGAGTGAATCTCTCAAACCAAGCCATTGGAGACTGTTTGAGACCATATAACGACTTCTGAAGCCTGCATACTTTACCCTCTGTCTAATGATTCTCAAAATCAGGAGGAATGTCCATATATACCTCTTATTCTAGATCACCATGTAAGAAAGCATTCTTTACACCTAACTAATGAAGTGGCCAATCTAAATTAGCTGCTAGAGGGAAAAGTATTCTGATGGAATTCATCTTAGCCACTAGTGCATAAGTCTCTTGATAGTCTACTCCATAAGTCTGAGTGAAGCCTTTTGCCACAAGTCGAGCCTTGTAATGCTCAATGGAACCATCTGTTTTGTGCTTCACAGTATACACCTATTTTCATCTCACCAGTCGTTTGCCCTTAAGTAACTCAGTTAATTCCCAAGTGTCATTCTTACAAAGTACTTTCATTTCATCAATCATGGCAAGTTTCTCCTTCATATTGCACCTTTTTGTTTGCTATTCACACTTTTTTCAGAACCCCAGTCTTACAAGGAAGTCTGTCAGGATCCTAATTGGGTTCAAGCTATGGAGGATAAATTGTTTGCATTGCAAAAGATTGTTACTTGGGAGCTAGTTCTTTTGCCTGATGTCAAGAATCTGGTTGGTTGCAAATGAGTCTATAAAGTCAAGATTCACTCTGATGGTTCTCTCAAGTGCTACAAAGCTCGCCTGGTTGCCAAAGGTTTCTCACAGAATTATGGTATTGATTATGAGGAGACCTCTGTCCCTGTTGCCAAGATGACTATTGTCCGTATTTTAATCTCTGTTGTTGCTGTTTGTCATTGGCCTCTCTATCAGATGAATGTTAAGAATGATATTCTTAATGGCCATCTCGTTGAGAAGGTGATGTAAGATGAGTAGGGATTACTTTCCTACAAATAGTGAGCCCAGTTTTAGTATACTGGCAACAGCAAGAATAGACTTATAGACGATCTTTCATGCTTTCTTTAGCAAGCAAATTACTTTTTGCCTTCGTTTCTTCAATATCCTCAATATTAGCAACTTGTTCATCTTGCTCTTTCATAATTTTTTCAAAATATTTTACACTATCAACCTTTTGCTCCTGGATATAAGTCTTCTATAAAACAGCAGCCAACAACCCTTCCATGGAAGCTTTCAATCCATTCAAAGTTGCCGTGATAATAGTATGCACATCACTCTTTATTGTTGCAACATCCTCCTTAATTATCGCAAAATCCTCCTTTAACATCGCAACATCTTTGTTAGTAGCTCTATAATTTGTTGACAAGGTTTCTGAAAAACCTATGTGATTTCTGATTCATAATAGATTTAATTGCAACCAATCCAAAACAATTAAAACTAACAATCTAAATCATCTAGCACGTATGAAAATGATTTAAATTGTTGTTTCATAATTAATAACTCGACACAAGCGATTTTTACGTGGAAAAAATTACAGTTGGAGCACCTCTAATTGTGATAAAAAAAACTACGGGCGAAACGCCACAAATCAATCCACCATGAAGAATGAAAGAACACAAATTCACCAAACAATTTATCCAAACTCTGTAAAATTGTCTTTAACAATTCGTGCCTCTTTCACCAACGCCTTCGTCTCGGAATTGACCAACTTGATGTCGGATCCACAACATCCACGTCGAATCCACGACCACGAGCAGCTTCGAACTCCTTCAAAGACTTCACGCTTGAATCCTCGGAATCCACCGAAGAAGAACTCTTTTGTATTGAACGATCAAACAAAACCTTTTGATGTGAACCACTCAATTCATGAGATAAACTCACACAAATATCAAAGGAAACTAGTAAAGAAGCTCCGGAAGAAAACCCTAATACCCAAGAAGAAAATCTGGAAGTCGTACTCTAGAATTGCACTTGTTTGCAGCTTTATAGCAGATAGATTTGCGATCATCGCTCGAGCAATGACATGGTCGCTCGAGCGGTGTGACTAAAACGCATGTTGTTACATAAGTGACTTCACTCAAGCGATGGAAAGTTTGCTCGAGCGTGAAAACTCAACTCCCAGTATTTTTGCAGTCAGTTCAAACTTTGAGAGGCTTGCATATTTTCTCGAGCGACACTTTCATTGCTCAAGCGGTCAAGCCAAAAACACTGGCATATTTAAACCTCAATGCGACAAGTTTGTTCGCGGAATTGGCAACAAGTAGGGACCTAACAGTTTCAAATTTCCAATTTAATTCAATGCTTGTCAACATTGAAATAAAGAAAGCAATTTTATCAAAAGATTGGTAAGGAATAAGGTAGGATCTTGAAACTCTGATACCAAACTGATGTAGGATGAGTAGGGATTACTTTCCTACAAGTAGTGAGCCCATTTAAGAATACTGGCAGCAGCAACAAAGACTTATAGGGTTGGATTTGGTGGGATTTTGTGACTGCAAAAGTATTTTAAAAAAAAGAGTTTAAGGGTTTGTAAAAATGTAGGATTTTGGAAATGAAAACACAAGTGTTTAGGGGATGTTGGGTAGCTATTCTAAGCACTGTGTACAGTGAAGTAAACAGTAACTTTGCTATAGAGAGAGAGAGAGAGAGAGAGAGATGTTTTACCCTCACAAGGGATAGGCCAATCACACAAACACAATC